AACACCTTCTTCTTTTTAAGCTAATTCCCCCCTAACAACTTTCAGTGGTGTGGGTTCCCCTGGTTTTGACCTAGTCACCCTTTCTAACAGGATATGTCTAAAGCTCTAATATGGCATGTGGCTGACTTAGTTGGCAGGTTTAATATGAGGAATTAGCACAATTTTCCTTTGCAAGCTGAGCAGGGCTTCCCATGGGTGCCAGGGAGCAGAGGAACAGGACCGAGCCTGGAAAGCAGCACAGTTTGATCGCAATTCATGCAAATTGTAACTGAGCAGCATCCAGACTTACTGCTCGAGAAAACATGGCACTCAGCAAACATTGCATGGCAAACAGACGCAATGTCACACATACACACACTCTTCCTTCACACAAGTCTGCTTTGGCAATAAAAGCCATTTTCTTCTTAATTTGCTAAATTTATTGAAAGGTGGAAGCTGAAGAGAAAGCAAGGGGCACAGACTCAGCCTGCGAAGACACGGACGGGGCCATCAGCGGCAGCAGACCATGGCTGGCTTGTGCTCCAGCTGTGGTGAACAGCTCCAGCTCCGGAAACACTTGAGAAGTTTGTTTTTAAAGAGTGAGATAGAAGAGGAAAATGGGGAGGGGAGGAGGGAGTGAGGCAGAACGGAGGAGCTGTTTGGCGGCGAGGATGCAGAGATGGGAGAGCTGCAAGAACTGAGACTACTTGATTCCCATGGCCATATAGGCACTGTTTGTTTGCCTGTTTAACGTACCATAGCGCCAGGCAGAGCCTGTCACTGCTCTGGTCACTATAAGATGCTTCCTGACAAGGCTGCTTCACAAAAGCCATTACAAAGTTTCAGCAAAGCCTTTATCTGAGGTTTGCAGCTCTAGCTTCAGGGGTGATTTCAGCAGAGCCACCACCCTGCATGGCCACAGCTTGTGGGTTGTCCCCGCTGCAGGGACAGTGCCTGGAGGGAGATGGGGCAACATCTCTGGCCATGCCATGTAGCTCTCTAGGAGCACATGTCTGTAGGCCTGCATGGGCTGAGAGTTTCAAGGGAGAGGAAGGGATCTGGGCGCCTGATGCTATTGGCTGGCAAAGATGCGACCTTGGCTTAGGCACCTGGAAAGTGCTTTGCACAGCTTTCCTTCTCACTCATACCTGTGCCTGTCTGTCATGCTGAAAAATTATCACGTTAATGACCACTGCTATTCCAGCTCCTTATCTCTCTCCTGTCTGTTTGTCTTTCCTTTCAATGCTTTTGACCTGCTTTCAGTTGAAAGATTAATACCTTCCATTTCAACAGCTCTGAGCCCAGATGCAACTGCCTGACGAGGTTCTGGTGTGGACAAACTTCAGCTGTTCCTACCTCAGGATGGGAAAACCTGCTCTGCCTACACAGGGGTATCAAAGGCAGGGCTGGAGAAGTGCTGATTGTTACAAAGCAAAGTACTAATTAGATTAATATAGACAAAGCTTCCATGTTTCCTGACTAATGCCTTTCTGAGCAGAGCAGCAAATCTTAGTTGAGCAGCATATCTTAGTTCCTCCAGGCCCAGCTGCTTTCAATCCCATCCTTGCACCATTATTCTGCTAAAAGATACCGTGATTGAAGTCTCAATAGTAGTGATCTCTGTTGGTCTTCACTAAGTTTCAGAGAGCACATGTCCACAGAGAGAGGTGTGATGGCCCCATCAAGCTTTCAGGTCCACTGATGTGTGCTGTTGGCAGGTTCAGCTCAGCATTGGACCTGTTGTGCTCCTCTTGTGTTGAAAGCTCCTCTCTGGAACCATCAGGAATGGAAATGTAATATTGCAGAAGTGATGGAGATCTGGCAGAGTCCAATGTAAGTCATATAAGCCTCCCAAAAGGCATCATTCTGGCTTGTGAGTCCAATGATAGATGCCTCTGCTCTACGAAGCTTTGAAGCACTGGCTGCTTCATACCCAGAGCGAAAAGGCACTTGGGATCTTCCAGGGTGTGTTCACTGCAACCTGATATTTAAGAAGGTCCCATCTTCCACCGCCAGAACAACAGAGACCTATGTCTTCTGTGACAAATATCAGTGTTCAGCCTCTCAACAGGGACTTTTAACATGTGCTACATAACCAAAAGCACTTGAAGACCAGGATTTGGCTGTGAAGAAGTCCATAATCCCCAAGTACTTTCTCTAGGAATATTTTGCTTTACCTCTTTCTCTAGCAGCCCAGATCTCCAAGCCACAGAGTGCCCTGAGCTCCCAAGAGCTCAGCACCACCCACAATCTGACTGCAGTAGTTCAACAGAAGAATAAGTGTAATTCCCCAAAATGTCTTAAAACAGAAATGTGGCTGTGTTTTTCTCTGAAAGCCATGTGGGGAGCGGGCAAACCACAGCCCAGCTTCATCTTCCAGGGCGCAGTCAGCACAAAAGCTGGCTTTGGTATGGTGCAGCACCCAGGCAGGAGAGTTGAGCTTTAATCCCCAGTATTTGCTGGCTCCTAAGAAATGCAGGCCAGCCAGGCATCAGAAAGGAATTTCGCATGGTTTTGAAGCGTAACCTCTCACAGTGTGTTGGTATAGGTGCACTCCCCGGTAAACTGCAGGGAGGATGGAGAGAACAAGAGCAAGTCTTCCAAAGGGAAAGGTAGGAAACCCCACTGGTCATAATTTAAAAACTAGACACTGGATGTGAGAGGAGTCAATGGGAAAAACATTGCCTGCAGGCAGCTTGGGAGGAAGGGAGAGAAAGAGCAAGCAAGGCAGAGCACTCCTACCTCTATAAACTATGGGAAGAGGAGGAAATGTCAGATGTGGACAGTAATTTATCCCTGCTTGATCTCCATCCCTCCCTCCATGGGGTATTGCTAAGGCCAGGGTCAGGATTGTGATTAAAGCTGTCACAAGGTTGGATCCCCTCTACTCCCCTAAATAGCAACCAGGGACTCCCAGAATGGAGCTTGAAAAGAAGGGGGAGAAAGTAATCTGCTGAGGCATGCACGTGTGGAGTGACCTCTAGAAGAGGACACAAAGGGTGGGAGAGGAGCTTGCCAGGGGACTTTTAGCAGTCAGTTCCACCAAAGCAGAAATCATCATCTCCGAAACAGCTTTGCTTCCTCTTATAAGCTCACTTCTTCCAAGATAAATTCTCAGAAGATTAGAGAATGCCTTTTTTGGGTGATACTTTGCCCTTTTGCACTCTTTCATGGCTCATCTAGTCTTTTGTCTCGTCTGATCTCATCCCACTCTCTTTGCTCCTTGCACTGGCAGTAGTGGTTAGATGTGGTAAGATGCTATTTAAAAATCAAAGGGTTTTTTTTTACTTCAGTACAGATTACAGCCCGGAGAGAGGGTCACACATACCACATATACACATATACACATATACATACTATATACACACATACATTTCTAAATACCAGCTGTTCCCTGAGGCTTTCTTTGCAGATATGTCTTGGTCTGGTTAAGAGGAGTTCAATGCCACAGTTGCTGGCTCCCACCACCTACAGTTCTGCCGCTGCCTACTTACCGAGAACATCCACAGTGGTGATGATCTCGTCCTTGCAGTGCTTTTGGCAGGTTTGGTTATCAGCCAGTCTTCCTGAGTTAAACAGCTTGCATTCAATGCAGTCCCTGCAGAAAGACACACAGAGGGGAAGATTAAGCATCCATCAGAAACCACATCAACATACAGATTCACCCCTCGGAAAGGGACTCCCTGGGTGTTGGTCTGGAGGTTGCACATCTGCACCACAAGGAAAGAGCAACTTCAGGGCCAAGCATCTCCATCTCAAGGATGGATTTATTCTAGGGGTGGATTCAATGAAGGTGCACACCAGCTGGTAGGTCTGGGGTCTGTTTGCCCTTTGGATGTCAGGAGCTGCACATCAGCTACTGCAAAATCCATCCTGCCTGAGATCAAGGCAGAGAGCATTGCTGCTCTGTGCCAGTCTGAGGCTGGTGCCCAGGACACCTCCGTTGCTGCGAGGCAGGCAGTCATCCCCATCCTCCCCTCCTCTGCAGCCTGCAGCTCTCTAGGCCCAGATGTTTGCAGCTCAGGGTGCAGCAAAACTGGGGTTGCCATCCTTTGCTGCAGAGCAGGACAGCACTGGAAATGAATGGGATGTGAACCTCCATGAGGACCTGGGCAGCAATACTTGTTGCTTCTCTGCCTGGGATACTCCCAGGTAGCTTAGCGTGGGTCTGAGTGGCAGCAGGCTTGCCTAGGGTTAATCAACCCTGTTTAATGAAGTGGGAGTAATTCCTTAGCTGAAAAGTCTCCCAGGAACCAAAGAGCTGCCCATCCGACCAGTGAGAAGTCCCTCCTGATCCCTCTCTCCCCCCCCCCATGAGTACCTTTTAGTGCTACGTAGCTTAGTGTGGGTCTGAGTGGCAGCAGGCTTGCCTAGGGTTAATCAATCAACCCTGTTTAATGAAGTGGGAGTAATTCCTTAGCTGAAAAGTCTCCCAGGAACCAAAGAGCTGCCCATCCGACCAGTGAGAAGTCCCTCCTGATCCCTCTCTCCCCCCCCCCATGAGTACCTTTTAGTGCTACAGACGCCTGGGCAGGTGGGACACTTCTCACATGTCTCTCCAAAAGCCCCCGGCTCAGTGCACTGACACTTCCCACAGACACAGGTGCCCCTGCCGCTGCACATCTGCCCGTCGCTGGAAACGCAGCCGTCCATCTCGGTGGAGCAGTTGCAGTTGTCCCCAATGTAACCGGCGTGGCACTTGCACTCTCCGCAGTGACACTCGCCGTGGCCTGAAGGTGAGAGCCGGGAGGAGGCATCAGCAGCATGCTGGGCCAGCACCGGGTGCTGCAGCTGGCCCTGCACAGGAGGGACCAGCAGCCCAGCAGGAAAAGCTGCCAGTGAGACCTCACTTGGCAGAGCTTCAAACAGATGGCGATGGGAAACACCTAGGTGTCAAATTATTATCTACATTTAGCAGCAAAGTGTACCTACTCGCAGCTCCTCCAGCTTCCCTCTATAGTCGCTCAAGACAAATGGGTACCTCTCCCTTCCTAGGGGGGACCAGCTGGCCAGGACAGGGGCACAAACTGCCCTTGGAGGTACCAGCAGTGACGGTGCCCATGGGGAGAACGGGGCAGCTCCCTCCAAGCAGACACAGCCTGCAGCTGGGGGAGGTGACTTCCACCCCAAGTGCCCTGGGACCCCCCACTCAGCATAGCACTGTCATCCTTCTGTGGGCAGAGGGCAGCAAAATGAGCAGGGCCACGTTAGGAAAAACCACCTGCTATTGCAGAGCCCGAACAGGATTAGCTGCTAGAGACTGCATGCTCTGGCCAGGTGTCAAACTTGGTACTCTATTATTTTCCTCTCTCCGGATGAGGGTTCCCAAGTATCCCTCTCTTTTCAGGGTGTCTTTTTGCACCCCCCTGGTTCGCCCCCATTCAGTGCTTGATGCCACCAAGCAAACGTTGACACCTGAGAGCACATTTCAGCAGTGTGTTGTCATGAGCCTTTATTCCCAGCAGAGTGAGTATTTCCCACCTCTGCCTCCTGGTGCCCAGCACTGTGTAACTGGGCTTTGCAGAGCGCTACACCTCCCACCTCCGCAGAAGGCGACCAGCATCTCTGTCACTCAGTCCCCAACGCTTCCTAAGTATCACCTAGCTTCACTCGTGTGCCCACCTGAAGACTCCGGCTAAGCTGGGAGTGTTATGTGCAGTTTAGTACCATGATTTCCACTGCTACTGGAACAGCAAAAATATTCAGGCTGATGAAGGGTCTCTGGCAGCAGCTTTCAAAATACTGCTTCTCAAACCAGATGTGTCTGTCTCAGAGGCATGGTACTGGGCAGACAAATACTTTAGGGCACCAGAGGATGTGGCAGAGTTGATGCAATCTAGCTGCTCACCACATGAGCCAGACAGGAGGCAGCACAGCTAGACTGTGGGCAGTTTTCTGCTTGGTCTTGCTACAGCACCGGATTTTGCTAGAAGAGCCGCTGTGCCAGTAAATGGGGGGCCCAAGCCACGCTTCCAGCTTAGCCTTCTCCAGGCTGCACCACTCAGCAGGCAGTTTTCTCCTCATCCACGCTTCCCTGCCCACTGTGGATGCTGAGCTCTGGAGGTCAGTGTTACCACTGGGCCCTCAAAATGGTGTAAAAAAGGGGGCTCCTGCAAGGGCTTTTGTGTTTACTGGGCTGGCTGGTGTTTTGTACAAATTAATCTCTTCTTTCTCTGTTTACATCAAGAGAAATGAAGACGGGAATGGAGCAGTGCTTCCTTGCTGGTTTTGAACCCAGGGTTTAGCAGCAAAAAGCCTAGCGGGTTGACCATTTCATAAGGTCTTTCCTACCCTGCTTTCCTAACAGCTTTACTTAAGAAGTACTCCCCAAAACCTTAAAGCTCCTTAAAAAGTAAATCAACAAGCACCATCTCCTTTGTCCAAGCAAAGCCTCTATGTCCCAGACAGCACCATGAAGGTTGCTGGGACCAGGTGAACTTCCCCCAGGGAGTAGCTCAGGGCAGCTCACAGCAGAGGTGGGTGAAGAAACTGATCCACTGAGGGTTTTCCTCTGCCGAAGCATCCCCTTGCAACTATGGGGTTTAGCAACAGGCTGAGAAAGTCAACAGGCTTAAAGGCTTTCAGTGACGGTAAGTGGAGTGGCTGGCTGCCAAGCATCTGGTTTCAGAAAGGCATCCATCAACTCGCTGGAAATACTGCTCGAATTCCTCCTTGGTTGGTCCCTAGGAGAAGGGATGCCTTTGAAGGCATAGTTTATAGAGCTGAAGGGTTTGTATACGAGGCTCATCAGAAACCTAATTACAGCTCAGCTTTCCCACTGGAAACAGCCTCAAGTGCCTCAGACAAGATAAATTACATACATGCTCCTTTCATCGTCAGAAAGCCGCTGATCTCCCCGCCTCTCCCATTGCTCCAAGATTACCAGAGAGGCTGTGGATTGTCAGGCTGTATTCCTTGCCAAAAGTCAGGGGAACACCTTCTGTTTTACAAGGCATCTCATATGTCCCAGCACATCACAAGCTGCCCTCCTACTGCCTCTTTTGCGCTCCTCCTGTTTGCTTTGGATCCAGCCTGCAAACTCAAACATTACTAGACAGAGGAGGTTATGTTTACAAGATCTCTAGAGGTGACCTCCTTCCCTGCCTGCAGCTGATGGAAATTAAAAATCCCTTGCTCTGTTTGCCTTCATGATGACAGCCTTGCCCTTTCCATAGACACATCCATACAGGCAGGTTTGGTTTGCCCCTTCCCTAAAAAGCTCTGGTTTTGAGCCCGTGATCACAGCTACGTCCACTACCGCTACTGCTTGGGGTGCAGCTGCAGAGTGGGGACCCCCTGCACCCTCTGCTTCAGAAGTGAACTGAATGGGGTGGCTGACTTTTATTCACAATTAATTCAGGCAATCAGCAAGTTTGGTGCTCCATGGCAATGCATGTGTCCAAATTAGCTATAAATCACAGTTTTCTGAAACAGGCACTATTTCAAGAAATTCAAAGCAGCTGGCATTGGGGCTCTGTGCATATGGCATTTAGTAAATGTGCTCACGCTTGAATTTGAGCTGTGAGGGCCAAGAGAAGCAAGCCAATTGCATTCACACCACCCCATGGTCCCGACCTGGGTGGGAGCCACCCCCTGCTCTTGGGCAGAGGGGCAGAGCCCCTATATCATCAGCCTTTTCTTGGTCCCCCTTGGACACCACAGAGCCCAGCACAAGATGCGAATCCATTGGAAATCCATCTCTGAAAGTGTTATTGCTCATGAAATGGTTAATTTTTTAAAGCCATCAGTGCCAGGCTGGTATAAGAGACTAGAAAGCCTGCATGTCCCTTCCAGCCCCTGGCAGGTTGGGGATAAAGCCTGGAATGACTGTCCCAGGGAAGGGAAACAGCCATTTCCAAATAATGCATCCTATTAAACCACTGCAATTGGAAAATTTACGAAACAGCGTCTTAAAGCAAACAGTTTCATTTATTGAAGGGGATGAAGAAAAAGCCCTTATACATGAGGGTGACTAAGTGTGGGGTGTGAGCTTAAAATTTAAAAACACGTTGAAATGTTTTCTGCCTCGGCCACACTGGCTCAACGTGCAAGAAGTCATTGGCTGAAGCTCATCACAGGGAATGTGCCAAGAGTGGGAATTTCCATGTTGACCTTTAACAGCAAAGATGTTACAATCTTTACTGCCCGCATCAGCTTGAAAGAGTGGCCACTCCTGCAAGCACTGTGAGCTCCACTTCTGGTGCTCTCCTTTCATCTCCCACACAGCCTGAAGACTGGAGAAACATGGTGAGTGGAATACATTTATTTCTCATACGGGCATGACAAGAGCCGCCCTGCTTCTCAATGTCCACCTGGAGCACCAGAGATGGGAATCCACTCCGTCCTCTTGCTCAGGACAAAACCTGAGAGGAGCCCCAAGGCAACGTGGCGTGCCGGTCACAGCGAGTCTTTTGGTGACGGTGACCCAGAGCTGAGGTTTGCAGCATGCAGAGTGCTACCTGGTACTCGTGTTTCACAGCAAAATGTGCTGCATGTTTCCGGTCTCAGCTGTCCTACGGTCGCACATAAAGCTGATGTGGTTAAGCAGTTTCTATGCCACTTAAGATTATGCCTGCGGAAAGCCTTCCACCACTACACTGATGATGAACCTAGTTTCATTTCCCAGTTTCATTTCCAAGACGAAAATGTGTCCTTGAAGAGGGTGTGTTTCAAGACATCTCTGCACCAGCAGAAGTCTCATGGTGCAGGACATTACCCTGGATTTTAACCCCCTTGAACCCTTTGAGTTTGCATGTTCTCTATTAAAACTGGCTTGTGAAGCCAAAAGACATTAATTATGTTCTCCAAACATAACAAGAGATGTTTTCTTCTTTCTTATCCTTGAAATGAGATAAGCTTAGATGTTTAAAAGATCCAGATCTAATTGGGAAATGAAATGCTCCCTCTGAATTTGATAACATACTTTCCAGCCAGCTCTTGATTGTTGGGGGGGCTAACACGAAACACATGTCAGGGAGGCTGCAGAAACTCGTTGGGAGGGTGTAGCAGAGGAAAGCAATGCTTCTGATGAGGGAGAGCAGTCCCTAGACTAGGTTTAGACTAGTCTGGGCTCCAGTGGGGCGGGAGCCACGGGGCGCACCGCTGCTTGGAGGCACCCTCCTCCCAAGGAGGCCACTGAGGTGGACCAAGACACGCAGCCCAGCTGGTCCCTCTGTCTCTCTCCCCTCCCCGAAATACATCCCCATCCCACTGCTGTGCCCCCAGCTGGGCTGCACATCTTGCTGTCACTCAGGCAGCTTTTGGCAGGACATCCAGCCGTCCTCGTTTCACCCCAGCCACCTCTGCCTCACCCCTCAGCTGCCCGCCGGGATGATGGCCACAGACCAAGTCCCCTCTGTCCTCACCCCAGCACTGCGCAAACCCGGCTTGGCATCCCGACACCTGCGTTGTGTGCCGCGGCTCCAGTCCCCAAGCGGGGTCGTTGCCAGCAAGAAGGAACCGGGATAGCAGCTTCTGGCAGAAACTTCAGCCTCTGGCCTTGATTTCATCCCGGGCTTCCTGACAACAGGCTGGAAGCGGGACCCCGCAGTGGCTGAGTGCTCAGCGGGACAGCCCGTCTGCCCTCTGCAATAACTGAGTTTGCCTTGTAGGAATTGCACCAACCACTGCTGCACCAAGAGGTCTGAAACTCAGTGCACTAAAAGCTCTGTCACTTGGTCTTTTGATAGAAAGTGGTTTTCCTAAAGCCCCCTATTTTTGGAGACCACAA